ACTAAAGCAAGAGGTCAAGTCACAGATGGAAATCAGACACCTCTGCTGCCCATGTCCATTTATTTCCGGTTTTGGTGATGGGAATGAGAGAATATCTCAGAAAACACATGTGGCATATGGTAATCTTGTCACCTTCATATTCATGAAAGCCACAGGTACAGTCTGGTGTAAAGCTATTCAGTGAAAATTGGGTGGCTCCAACATGCAAGGCAGCATACCCATCTGGTTGTAGTAGAACAGTTTTATACCAACCATGGTCAAAAGTAATACTGAAGTCATAGTGAGTACATTTTGTGCTCTTGGCTCATTGTTAATATTTTTGTGGCACTTTTTATTGGAGCAAAATCTCATTCCAGAGGCTGCTGTGCAGAAAAGCATGATAATTCCAGGAGTTCAGAATGATAGTGAATTCCCTAAAATGAATACCTGTATTACAGGCCACATTTAAAATAGGATGATCCTTTTGCTTGTTTTCAGTAGGAATCCTAACCACTCACCTAAATTTTTTCCCCAAATCTTATACATTTTAGAATCACACATGTCAGATTTCTGAGAACAGACTGTACATGCTACTTGAATTTTTTTCAGGATATTATACAAAAACGCTTACTTTTCAGGGCACAGTACTGTCTGGAAGTTGTGAAACCTGTAGTTCACTTCAGGCAATGTTCTTTGAATCTGTTCTATTCCTAAAACCTCTCCCTCAGTGATCCTAAATGTGAGCTGCTGTCTTAGGACACAGTTCTTTTCTGTATTGAAATTGCTCAATGGCATAGAAACACTGACTATAATCCCTCAACTTTGGTTCACATATTTTGTAGGCTCTTTTTCTGGGTTGACATTCATTTGCAACACTTAACCTTCTGTGTGAGGGAAAACAGTTCTTCTCACAATGCCAACTATTCCATCAGTTTCATTTCTTCACCCTATTTCTTGAGGACACTGTTCCCACAATTATCACTTTTTGCAAACGTTGTGCCTCTCACAGATTTCCTTACACAAATGTGTTTACACTGTTTTCATCCCCTTGCTGTGTCTCCCAGACTTCTGCCTCTTACCTCGCTCACTCTTTAATGTCTATGCCAGCCACTCATCTCTTCTTCGCTCCTTACCCCAGTTTATTCTGGCTCTGATGCCATTATTGTACTGAAAACTTCTTGCCAAGCAAATATGGGCCATAACTGATGATGTCCATCATACTCCTCGATTCTCAACTCTTGCTAATATGTAAGCAGCAATGCCTGTTGCCTACTAGCTTGGTTCAAACCTATGTTTGAGATATCCTACTTCAGTGTCCATATATTTCTTCTTATGTCTATCTACATTGGTAAACTGGCAGCTCTCTATCCTGAGCTTCCATTTGCTACAGGTCATCAGCATCAGTGTGTTGTCTCCTAACCATTTATCTCTGCTTTATCTTAAAAGTTAAATGCCAACTGCAAATTCTCCTATACTGGAAACATATCCCATGGCTATTTCACTAGATCTAGAGCTCACAAATGGCAAGAACATCACACTATGTCCTTCCAAATCCCCCACATGAAGAGTGCTTATGCAGTGGGTGCTGAAACTATTTCTTGGTCTATTTGAACACTCTGCTCATACCTTCTGTTACTTTGATATCTCTGATCATCCTCTGCTCCATTTGTCCCCCTTCTCTTGCATTACTTTAGATATTTTTTCTTTGAAATGAAACAGTGTGTCTCTGACAACTCCTGCCCAATGTTCACTGTGTACATTGCAGGTACTTGAATGACCACACTTTTCTCCTTTATTTCAGACAGATCGCTGTTCCTGTCCTATATACACAAATGAACCATTTCTCATTTGTTATTATAGACATGTAAAAATCTCATTTGCTGAATTCTGTATGATTACACAAATTTCAGGACACAGCTAGCACACATAAGGTTGATAAAAAATTTTCTAAGAAGTGCTGGTACCGTCATCCTAGGCAATGTCTTGAGCAGACTCAAACTCGCAGAAGGGATGGACGACTTCCATCACCAAAGTAACAGAGCATGGAAGAGAGAGAATTGCCTAGAACACCACCTGGGACCTGTATTGACCTGCATAGAACTTGATTGTGTATCTTACATGGTCTCCTAGTTGATCTTCCTCCTCCCACACACCATGTGTAAGTGATCATCGTGTTAAGTGTTTGTGTGTACTGAGGTACATGGGGGAACCCATCACTTGTGTTTAATTGTAATGTTTCTGTGTTCAGAATAGACGCTATTTTACACTATGGGATGCAAGTATATTTCCTTTCCCTCCTTTGATAGACTTTGTTAGGGTTAGTGTCTGGATGTTACCCAAAGCCTCGTGCTTTTCCCAAGGTGGCTGAGTAGGAAAGTACACCTTTAGGTTTAAGGGTGCTAGGGTTAGTGTGTGTGTGTGTGTGTGTGTGTGTGTGTGTGTGTGTGTGATTGTAAGGTCAATCCACTGACTGGATTGGCAATGCCATAGTCCCAGTAGATTGACCACAGTAGAAAGTGGAAGAAGAGGCTCATGTCCAAAAATTGGTCTCATTTCTTTGCTACCTTTCCCTGCTATGGCTCGTGGCCCATCTGCTATGTATCCCCCCAATCTGGGTGTGAACTACTTATGGGCCAAAATGTCTTCAGCCTGTGAAACTTCTAAGAACCTTTGCTATTTTACCTTTAGGTGTTCTGTGTTTTGTCTAAGCAAGGAGAGAAAACTTCCCTTGTGAGAGATGCCATGCTATTTTCCAGATACTAATATTTCAAAAAAGTCCTTGCTCTCTGTACAAGACCAATTTCTAAGCATGATTCACAAATGAAAAGCATCTTACCAATGTAACTATTGTGCATTCAGCTGAAAATGTGAAAAATATTAGCAACAAATCTGTATATAGAGTTCAATTCAGGATCATCCTCAAAATATTCATCAGGTATCTTGTCTTTCTAGAAGGAGAAATGATACAATGCCAGTATTTACTGAAGAAAGGTGTTAAGTGATGTTAAGACAGCTCTTCTCATCATCGGCTGACATGTCTTGAAATTTTTAAATTGAATTGTATATCTTTAAATCTTCAAAGAGAAACACTCAGACTTTTACTATCTGTAATGACAATTTTAGCAGTGATGACATGTAGAGTAGACACCCCATAAGTAATCACATTGTGAACAGTGAGCATCGTTGTTGTGTAAGTAAACTGTATGAGGGCTTTACATGACTGAAGTCATCATCAGTGTATCAGTCAGTGCATACTATATTGCTAAGCAATAAAAGCACAGAAATCAATACCTCTTCCTACCTTTGCTAACAGAATTCAGAAAAACATGTTTAGCCTGAAAGTCTTCTTGGTGATATGTTGTATTTCTTTGTGATAACATGTGAAAATGTAATTAGTTTCCCATATCTACATCCTCTAGGGACCCAGTCCCATACACTAGTGAGTAGTCACATGACTATTAAGCACCAAAAAAGATACCATACATGAGGAATTAAGTTTGAAGCTTTTAGGTCATGTTCAGCCTGATTCTCAGAGATTTTGTGTCCAAAGGCTTTTATTAACTCATAGTTGTGTTGTTGAAGACTACTGAAATGTATTTTTTGAAAAGCTCCATGTTCTGGTAGTTAAATACTACCCTTTCTCACATTAGCTCAATGAGAATGCTGCAAGCTGCTTCTCCCTTTCTAATAGCCCTGATAAAAAAAATCTCTCTTCTAAGAAGATGAGATACAACATGATATGTGAAAGAATATGATTTAATTTCTAATGAAAGCATGTGATTTAGTTGTGTCTACTAATGTGAAAGGAAAGTGACACTAAAGAAACACAATTGTCTAAGGTAAAAATATCATTGTCTCAACCAAAGTGACACTTACTGTCATTGGATGTAATCTCTCATCAAAAATATTCAGGAATCTATTTGCCTCTCTATAAAAGAGAAAGTGCATGTAAGTGCAATCACAAACATCTTATTGAAATAACACATAGGGTTAGAAGAAGATGGGGAAAAGGGCATACCATTCAGTACACCAGAGTGCCTAACTCTTCTCATGGAATTTGGGCTTAGGACTTCTTTTACTTTAGTGCATCAAGTAATGTGAAGGTTTGACTAGCATAATCAGCTACAGGTTCCTCTAAAGGATTATTTTCCTCTACAGCCATTCTCGTTAAACAAGTGATGGGGATTGAATCCTTGAAATGTATCAATGTGAATGTGAAAAAGATTTCCCGGTTTTTCCTTGTAAATCATGTGAAGGAAGTTTTAAAAACTTAGCTGTCCTTGTAGAAGGAACCAGTATTTTGATAGAAGTACAGTGTGCTGTCTTAAAAGGTGTTTTGCTGTGGTCTTTGGACCTCTACATACTTCTCTGTCTCTTTTTCAGGAGGTTCATGATTTCAGAGTGTTCTTGCAAATGGATGAAGACACTTTTTGATTTTTCACTCGCGGACACTTGAAATGCTGGTATAAAAATTGAGGCAAGACTAATATCGCCACATGAATCAAGCCTATGGTACAAAATTATATCAGCAGTCAGTATGTTTCACTGTCACTTCCAATTTTGCCTGAAAAACAGTTTTTTGAAGACTGATCTTGATGAAACATGAAAAATTAGTGTTAATATGTCTTAGAACTTGTTAGAAATATTCTAGATAAGTGAGAAGTTTACATAAAACTTTTCTGTATACTGAAGTGTATTTGTGCTCAGAAAAGCCATTTGTGATTTAGTTTTGAGCTGCACACGCTGCTTGACATGGAACACCCTTTCTCCATGAAACTACACATATCAAAATTGGAAAAAAAATAGGCCTACATGGAAAATGAAGATATATATCTTGCCAATGTCAAAAGTTATGATACTAAAAATCAAATTTCTGGAAAATATATAACTTCTGTTGTTCATGTGACAGCTTCTCAAAACCTGGAAGACTTTTTGCTAAGAAGAGTGATGATAATAATACAAGTTTTTTAGATGTTAGAAACAAAACTGACCCAGGTGTGTCCAAGCTGAACAATGTATATTATAAATCATGTAATGTTAAAAATATTATTTGTTTTGCAAATGGAC